TACCTTACTTCAGCAAGCATTCACAATTGAACAACTGCAGCCGACACCAGAGGAGAAAGACTCCGTAAACACATGATCCATGGACACTCATCCCCTTTCTGTCTGAATCACTTAAATCATCTGACGCCAATCATTCTAAATTTGCGCTTGTGTGTGCGCGGCCACTTGGTATTTGGAAATGTCCCCTCATAACTGCTGATCCATGAATAGCCCAGCTAGCTGCTTCGCCACATGTCCTGTCATTGAGTGCCTAATTGGCAAAAAACATGCACACAAACAGAGAGATGAATGAGTGTGTCTGCATGCACACACAGGAACAGAAATAAGACACACAAACACACACGCGCACACACTAGCACACAACCCAGAAAAGGACAGAGGAAAACACAATTAGAGTTAAAAAAAAAATGTCAAGTCTGCTTCACAGTGTGCGGACATCTCAAGCGGGCCCCTCAACACACCAGTCCTCACTGCGTTGGGAATAGGAATTAACGGGACTCATAAATAAGGATGCGCTCCTCGGAGATCTGCCCTGTGGTCACAGCGCTTCCAAACAAAGACGCTTTTAATCGGAAATATTCTTGACACTTAAGTAAAACACCTTCTGTCGTCTTGTGCACTGACTTTGCCATTGTGACAGCGTGACAGATGCATTATGCTTAATAAATCGATTTTCCACACTCGTCGCTGATGGTGTAGTGGTACACCCGCCTGACTCGTGTGTGGGCAACGTGGGATCGGTTCCCACTCAGTGATGGTCTGAATGGTCTGAAAGGGTTACATTCCATACACATTAATATACCGTATTGGCCTGAATATAAGACGGTGTTTTTTACATTGAAATAAGACTGAAAAAGTCGGGGTCGTCTTACATTCGGGGTCTAGACATTATACCCATTTACGACGCTAGATGGCGCCAGATATCATTGAAGCGAATGTTGAACTTGACTCCCCAGGCTAAAGCGAACCCCTGTCACAAAGAATAAAAATAAAAATAGCGGTAGCTCGAAGAAGAAAAATAAAAAAATAGCGGTAAGAAAGAAAATAATAGAAGAGATAACAGAAAATGGAGAAATGTAGCGACAATCTGGAGAAAAGTGGGTCGAAGATCGGCCAGGTTAACCGGCAGCTGAGGAGAAGTTATGGTGTAAACTTCAAGATGCTTTTTCTTTCAAATACATCGTTATCATCATTTGTTTCAGATGCACTGTAATTATTTTCTGTATAAAAATTAATTTGGTGTTCAAAAAGTCTTTTTTCAAACTTGAGTCTTGAAAAAGAGCGGGTCGTCTTATAATCAGGGCCGTCTTATATTCGGGCCAATACGGTAATATTTGATTTTGACTTCATAAAGACTGTGAGGGCCAGTCAGTGGGTCACACTTTGCCTAGGTCAGCCCTCACCATTAAAAACCGTCAGTCTGCACAGTATTTGATATTGAACGACAGATTCCATGATGCGTAGGAATCTTAATGCCATGTTTGCATGGTTTCTTCCCTGGTAAGGCCCGTGATTATGCAGGCAGTTATTCACAATGAGATTTGGTCCAGATCTGCCAAAAGAACCTTTGTATTATTAAATTCAAGCATAAAACGACTCAGCCACATTCAGAGTGTGCTCCTCTCCGAACATCACTGCCGGAAAGAAGCTGTCCGTGTTCATTATCTTCTTTCTTTGCTTTGTCTTCCGTCTTTCTATAACTCTGTGGTCTGCTCTATCGTCGTCTGCACTCCCTCGTCACCTCAGCTCATAACGCACGATCTACAGTACACATTCAGGTCAGCCGCAGCAACACGCGTCCTATTTGACATTCCGCTATGTTTCCATTTGGAGGCCTGACCTCCAGGCACAGAAAAGATACTTGTTCAAGTCATCTTCACATTGTCACTGTCGCTCTCAGGTATGAGCGTTTGTTGGCTTGGGCGTTCTAAATTCATGAAAATGCCTGGGTTTGATTGTTTTTCACAGGCCCAATTAGCATGTGTTTAATTTTACAGACGTTTTGCGCGACAAATGACAGGCAGAGTGTTTTCCTTCCACGCACGGGCCCTCGAATAAGCTGACGACACTCAGCATTTTGGTTAAAATGAGATCAGAGATAAGGGTTTACAGCGTTAGCTTGCCTTGGCATGCACTGAAAACCTGTGATCACACATCAGTTCATCAGTGCGTTATTTGTCGCAGATACCAATACCAGCATTTGAATGCGACCGTCCCGATACTCATATCGGTATCGATGCGTCACTATTTTGATTGGCTAGCCATTAGCTTGGACAAAGCCAGGCTCGGCAGTTCCGCTTTTCTTCATGTTCCAACATGGCTGCCAACAGCACCTGCCAGACCCGTCAGCAACCCACTGATCCTGCCTGTTGCGCTATTTCATCCGGGATGTGGAAAATGCGGTGAAAAGTTGCTAGAACTCATCAATTTGTAGCGTAATGTAATTTCGATTAAGTCCACATGCTGATAGTATCCAGCAGAGAAGATAAAATTACAGTTAAAAATGAAAAGGAATGGCTTGGTCATCCCTCTCATCCTTCTGTTGCTAAACCTAACACTTCATTCATAAATCACACTAAAGATTTCAATATATTAAAGAATATATTTTTATATGATTATTTTAGAAAATCTGGGAAAGTTCACTTGCCCCTCTGATGAATGAAAACTGCAAAACATTGTTGACTAGTGTTATTAGATTATCAGTGGGCTAGTATAAGACACACATATGTTTTTCATTCATACAACAGGAGTGCGTCTGCTGTTTAGTAAGAACTGTGATTTTTGCCATCGTCTGAAAGAGCATGTCTGTTTATGAAATCCAGTACTAGTCATGATGAATTCGTTACTTGTTTTTGTTTACGAGTAACATCACACCAGGGCGGTATTTCGACCACTGGTGTGTGCGTGTGTGTGACTGTGTTGTTTGAATAAAAATAGGAGAGTATTGTAAAGGTTGTGCGTGACTGTGCAAATGTTGGTAGAATGACAAGGATTGAGATGAAGGGGAAGACTTTTGGGACAAAGAGGCACAAATTCCAAACATGAATGGCATTAAGCACAATGTAAAGAATTTGAAGAAATGTGTGTGCGTGTGTGTGTGTGTGTGTGTGTGTGTGTGTGTGTGTGTGTGTGTGTGTGTGTCCTGACAAACGGTGTTGCCAAAGTTTCTGTGGATCCAGTCCCTGAAATAATCGTCCCCTGTGTTGGTGTCTCTCTGATGGCGGAGAGGGGAGAAAGAGGAGGTTGTGGAGCAAAATATAAGGAATAACACACTCACATGGGTGGACCGCGATGCTGTGAATTGCTCAAGACGGCTGAATCTCAGTGTGCCTGCTACAATCCCATTCGAACCGGAGGTCTCTCGACCTCTACACACCGCCACACACACACACACACACACACACACACACACACACACACACACACACACACACACACACACACACACACACACGTTGGACAATCACAGTGTGGAAAGATGCATCGTCATTCAACACACAAGATGGTTCTTACAGATTTTGGCTGGTTGCTTTAAGATACGGATGAACACCCCCTCCAAGTGTGAAATCAAGTTAACCCAATAAATTGTGTACTCACCATTAACTTTGTCTCTTCACATGAACACAAAAGCCAGCTAACTTCCAATGTGCGTTCAACTCTTCTTGTATTATTAAGTTGTTGCTTTAGCCATATTGGAAGGAGCAGCCATGGCTGCCATATGTTATCATTTCATTTGAGTTCCATGGCGGCCGTCACTGATTTTGTGTTTTGCCGCAGTCTTGCAATAGCTTTAATTTATGCGTTTGTTCGCAAAAATGGTTCAATGTATGCTCCTGTATGTGAATAAAATGGTCATTGTAATTGGCAGAAAGAGGTGAAATGAATCGCATCGATTTCAGTGACACATTATAAGCAGCCCATTGCCGACACCAAAAATCTATTGTCTTAAAATAAGCATGCATTAAAGCTCTTCATCTCAAATCCAAAACACAACAAAAATAAAAGATGCCACTTGTGTTTAGAATCATTTTTAATTTACGGAAACGGCATAAGACAATTTGCTGATTCAGAACTCTGCTTTTTTCTTGAGGACATCCATTCATCCCACTTAACCTGTTTTATGGTTGCAGGGTGCTTGAGCCAATCCCAACAAGTGGCAGGGTACACCCTGGACCGGTCACCACTGAATCACAGGGCATTCTTTTAAACAAATGAGCAAAAGTACATTAGGCTCAAAACATGTCACCCCTTTTGAGACCGTTGTGTGACTACAGAAGGTTTTGCTTGGCATTTGTTTGTACAGTACAGTATGCGTACACTGGGCGACAGTTTTTCAGGTTTTGCTCATTGGGCAAACTGTTTTTTTTTTTTACCATTTGCAGTAGTTATGCAGGAAGAATAGTCTGTTACTTCTCAACAACACATTTCCCCGAATGCTCTAAATTCGAGTCCTCCAAACGTTCAGTGAGCGATGACAAGCGACTTAAAAACAATAAGGAGATGAAGCTGTGTTTACAGAGCGAAGCCAGGGCTCGGAACGTAGACGGAGAGAGAAATTGAGGACAAGATGTTTAAAGGAGGGTCTTCGGGAAGGGACAAGTGGCGGCAACATAAGACATGAAGAGCGAAGAGATGAAATAAAAAGAAGGAAGAGACGAGAAGGAGAAGGGAGGAAGGAAATGATGTTTGTGTTTTAGTTTTTTTATTTCTTTTTTTTTTTTTCCCCAGCACAAATTTTCCCCCCGGAGCTCATTAGTCTGGAGAGAAACAAACCACAAAACCTGAAAAACCAACAGAGTGGAGAGAGACAGCGGGAAAAGGGGGAAGCCTGAGGAAAAAAAAAAAAACAAAAAAAAACAAAGATGGCAAACAAGAGAACGCGGCAGCGGAGGAGTCGGGAAGTGCGACGACAACTACAAGTGGACAAGAACATGACACAAAAAATGTTGACTGAATAAACTACCAGACCACACAGTGAAATAGGTTAAAGAAAAATAAAATTACATTTACATTTTATTGATGTCAGAGCAATTAAAAGAACAAAACAGTCAATAATAAATCCATTTGATTGAGTGATAAATCAGAATTTTTAAGGTCTAAATATTCACATGTAATTTACAGCCAAGATAATAATAATATAATAATAATAATAATAATAGCAATTTATCTTCTGATAATATACTGTAACACTGTATGTATGTAGCATCTGAGCTTTTTAGCCACAACTTAATTTGACCCCCCCCAAAAAAAAAACAAGAAGCAAATTTTCTTGTCATCAGAAGAGCAGAAGAGCAGCCCAGTTTCCCCACACAAAATCACTAGAAGTTCCCCTTACAATAATTTTTTTTCTTCGATATAACACTGAAATACAGAATATACAGACATTATAGTCATCAACCGGATTAAATTTAAGGTGTGGGTATTATTGTTATCTTCATCATAGTTGCGGTAGAAACTGTGGCTCGGATCTATGATATAACCTCATCTATGTACGACATATTGTTTCTTTTGAGTGTCCCAGAGTTCCAAGTCTGACGTTGAAGTAAAGCAAGGAATAGTCCGTGCTAGGAGGCAAACGAATACAGCAGCAGATAAAAGTACACGTGGGGGAAGGTTTGGAGGAGGATGAGATGGACCGCTCATGGAGGAGGAACATGGGGGGTGGAGCTTCTGGGGGTGGGTCACAGAGAAGTCAAACGAAACTGCAGCTTTCAGAGACAGGAAAAAAAAAAAAGAAAACAAAGCAAGAAAAGCAGCACTGTTCAAAATGCCCTCCGCCTCATTTGCTTTGCCGCAGTTTTGAAGCCCGTTGCAGAGTCATGATTCTTACTGTTGATATTTGCGCCAAAAAAAAAAAAATCGGTTGATTAACAGTTCCCATGTGAACTTGGCATTTCGAGGTGTTTTCACCGTCACTTGCAGCCTTGATGGCGTGGTGGTGGATTTGGGGAGTCTTCTGGAGAAGATGCGGTCAAAGGATTTAACGCAGCTGACGAACGCTTCTTGAAGAAGAAAGATGTACATTTTGGTGTTTGCTCCAAAATCTGAGCAATTCCCCTCCCCCAAAAACTAGATGGGCTGAACTATGAAAGAAACATTCCTCAAAGTAGTCGATGGAATGAAGGGATGGAAGGGCTACTCTCCACTAACGTTATATGTATTGAATGGAGCAGAGAACAAAAAAAAAAATATATTGGGGCCATCCACAGATCAACACTAGGAGGACTAGATGGATGAAAGAATGAAGGGAAGAGAAGAAGGTGGCCACACTTTTCAACTCTTCAGCAGCATCCCATACAGAAGTCCATCGTCAACTCTTGTTTTCTCTTGCCCGCGTAGCGCCATCTCGTTTGCACTTCCCATCAACAACCAAACCAGCTCCTCCTCCTCCTCCTTTTCACTCCCCTGCTCCACTTCCACACTTCTCCTCTACATGGGGAACACCAGGAAGCCGGAGAAGGTGGAGTATTTCCATCCTCCCATCAAATTTCCTCTCTCCAGTTTGAGGTAGGCCCGGTCTCCTTTTTCCATCTGGATCAGAACGCCATTGCTGGCCGCCTCACGGGTCACATCCTGGTCGCCAGCAAAGGCTGAGATGACGGGCCAGCCGTTGTGCATGAGGCTCACCTGGACAACAGACAGATGGAGACGGATTCACAAATACAGCACGCAAGTCAAGGACCCACCTGAATCTAGAGAACGCCTAACACGCAAATCGTTTTAAAACAAACAAGAGTCTATTTCGTGGAATTGATCTGACCTCGAATTCCAAGACGAGGCCAAAACCCTTAAAAACTGCTCTCGAGACCGATCTTGAAACCAAGACCTCTCTCGAGAACGCTTGCAATAACTGATCATGGTGTGGGTGAACACCACTTTTTAAAAATACAATCAACAACATACATTTATATCATTAACATCCCAGTATTGTTAGTGATGAAACACAATGAGAGCATATGGTAGCAGACGTTTAAAAGTCAACAAGGCTATGGGTGCAACACACACACACGCGCACACACACACACTGGTCAATGGGTCTAGAAAATGACTGTATTTCTATGTATAGACCAAACGGAAGTTCCTACAGTCTTGAAGCAAACAAGCTAAAGTGCAGAAATATTTCAGGACTAGACTCCGCTTTTGCCCCGCAGGTGATCGCTTTGGAAATGAGTGCACTTTCCGGGTCTTTTCCGTTGTCCGTTCATGCACCTGGATGGATTTTTCCGAGATCCTCTGCATTTCTAACGTCAGTGCCATCTTGATGTCGTCTACGTCTTTAAAAACGGGTCTCTGTGAGGACTCCCTTGAGCTTGGGGAAGAAGAAGAAGAAAAACGAATTTCACAGAGCCATGTCAAGTGAGTGGAGAGGTTGCTCCAGCACGGCTGTGTTCCTCTTGGCCAGGAATTGTGAGCAGCCCTGTTGTCATGGTGGTTGATTGTCATGAAGAGGAAGACTCGTTAAAAAAAAAAAATAAATAAAATAATAATAATAAATAGCATTTTTATTTTAAAAAAAATATTTTCCGACCCCAGTCCTGGAATTTTCTGACCCACCTCATACACGGTTGGACTGATATGGTATAGCAAAGGTTGTGAATAGGGTGTCGACGATTCACTTTGTGGTGGTAATTTTTTTTTTTTTTTCGAACAATTACAAACGTCTTCCACGTGTTTTTCTTATAACTGCTTCACAGGATCATGAATTGTCATCGTCATTTGTTTCACAGTATTTGCAACAGTCACACTACGTGACATATGGCCCTTAGGTTAGTCCAATAAAATCCACACAGGTGTACCATGTTGCATGTACATAATGTACATACCAGTGCAGTGCTAGTAACTGTTCGAAAAACAAAAGTTGCTTCATCCGAACAAAAATCAAAATGCTTGGTGGAGTTGAAGCATTCGAAACTTCGCTAAATCAACGGATGCGGCATAACCATCAACATCACACCATAATTATACACTTATACATCACTCCACCTCCTGACGCACAAGTGTGTGTGTGTGTGTGTGTGTGTGTGTGTGTGTGTGTGTGTGTGTGTGTGTGCGTGTGCGCGCGCGCGCGTGCGTGCGTGCGTGCGTGCGTGCGTGTGTGTGTGGGCAGGATGAAGAGAGTGGAGAGCTCTTTTGGTCCGCCCCTCCTCTTTAATGGGCAACCCGCTTAATGGTGACTCAGAGTCAGAGCACACGTGTGAGAACGAGTGTTAGCATGTTGCATTGAATAATTACATGAAAACACTCAGACGCTACTTGAACTCCTTTTTTCATTATATCAGGATGGCAACGTGTGCTAGGTCAACGTGGAGGGGAGGGGTGTGTGTGTGTGTGGGGGGGGGTGTAGTTTCTAGTGCTGAAACCAATAAAATTCAGTATTCATTGAAGATGAACACAAAGGACTTCGCTCACTTTTAATATATGCACACAATGTATGTTTAATATCTTTTATACATTGCGCTTATGCTTTAGGATGCGATCCACGCTGAACTGGTGTTCACTTCATGGACTTGTTTTTTTTTTGCCACATTTGTTCCACTTCAAGTTCTTGTTTCCAGCCAGTTAGCCCGCCTTCCCGTGTGTCCTTCCAACACTCTTCCACTTAATGCGCAGTACATGCTTACCAGCCATAGCATATCTGAGAAACATGACACCGGCCCTGCGTTGGTTTTCTCCGGGTATTCTCCGGTTTCCTCCCACATTCCAACAACATGCATGGGAGCTTCATGGAGTACTCTAAATTGTGCCTCGGTGTGAGTGTGAGCGTGAATAGTTTTTAGTCGCTGTGTCCCCTGCGATTGGCTGGCAACCAGTTCAGGTTGTACCCACTTTGTGCCCTGAGACAGCTGGGATCGGCCCCAATGCAGGTTCCCATGCAAGGATCAGCTCAAATGGAGTTGTTAAATGTCTATTGAATGGCATCGTATGTCTCTTAATCAATAAAACTTTTTTTTTTAAGATGTTGAGATCTGTTCAGTTCTTTGTGGTCCAAAGACTGTGAACATGCTTTGTTGGCCAAGAGTCTAGTTCAAAACTGCTCTTCACGCCTGTATTATGTAGCAGACCGATCCAGTTCTTTGTGGCATAATGTGTAATAATTTTGATGCAAATATTATTGACTCAGCTGCCACTTACTTGGATGGAGACCTTAAGGAGTCACTTATCAAATAGTTCTGTTCCTTTATCTAGAATGTTGAGGTGACATCAGCAATTAAATGCAATCAGGACATTACGTAGAACATAACCAACGGTGTCAAATTACCCTTATTAACCCCGTGATATGTTGTGCCGGACATTCACCACACACAAGCACATACACTCCCATGAAGAGTGTACTACACTCTCCTCACCTTACCTCAATTACCAGGCATAAAAATAAAAGCACGGTAATAGGACTGCACATTGGTCAGGCCTAAATTGACCCGCATTCATTATGCATAAGCATCAATTAAGTGCCTTATTATGGAGCAAGAGGCAATAACCGACCAAGAGCAACAAAGGGGATGCAGGAAGCCAACGATTAAAAGAAGACATAGAAAAAAAAAATTGGAAGCTAAATATGAAAGGTGGAAGCGCGGAGAGGCCGCAAATATAAAACGCAGCATGCGAGTCTTTTAGGACAAAAAAAATAAATAAATCTCTGATTAAGTAAAATATCAACACTGGCCACTTTGGTCATCTCCCTACTGTGTATTTACATATTGGATTTTGCATTCAAAAATTATTGCTGTTCTAATTATTATTACTGATGATCTAGTGATTAATTATCATTCCAATCTGGGCTCCGGCCTTCAAGTGTGGAATTTGCATGTTCACGTTTCAAAAACACGCACGTTCAGTTTTTTTCCAGGTTTGGTTTCGGTTAAAGCAAACACGAGCGCAGTTGCTTCACTGGTGTGAGAAACCAGCTGAGCCGCGGAATGCTCAAAAGAAGCAGTGTGAGAAGGCTTCGGAAGGCGGGCTCAGACTGCTCGCAAGTGACCTCCGGTTCAATGTTTGAAAGCCGCATGGTCCAATGAAAGCAGAAAGTGAAAGAAAATCACAAATGTTGATAAGTCAAGTTGTCAGAAGCACTGTTGCTTTTTCAGTCTGTGGTAACTAGCAACGGCCAGTGAACAGGTTTCCTTGAAGTCATTAGTGCATAACTTTCTCAACTGTTACACTTGTTACCAGAATAAAAAATAGTAAATATGAGTGTAAACGCCATCCGCAGTCCAAAAGCGTATTTTTCAACATTTTATGCTTGTACATAATTTGTTTAATAACAAGAATTCGTCGAGGACCTGCGTTATAAAAATGGACAAATTATTGTATTGGAACCCTCCATCGTTTGTCAAGGGAGGTCATATAAGTTTCTAAATAAGTGTGAAAAAGTGGAGAAATTGAAACATCACAAACCCAACTTATTGGTGTGTATAATACGTACCGGTAGTCAGTATGTCAAGCTGCAAATGCAATCGAGGGTTAAGACAATGTTCTGAACTTCTGTTTCCATTCTTCAGGCCACATAGGTTTCTACGCTATATGTATGATTTATTTTGGCATGTTCTTAATGTTTCAGATATCCTAAAAAGATGATGTTTGACAAATGTACAATAAAACCCCCTCCATCCCGGAGGTTACATTCGTGACCCCCCAAGCCATAACTGAAACACACGACAGACAGTTGACCGAATAGCAAAAATCTGCATACTGTATTATTGATGTCCACTGAAATGCACTGGCGAGGAGGCGGGGGTGTTAGATATGTAAACACTCCTTTGGCATATATCGAAAGCATTTATGACACTTGTTTTTTTTTTTTTTGTTTGTTTGTTTTTTTTTAAGGTCTTCAAACACACTCAAAATATAACAAACATTTTAAACATTTAAAAACATTGAGAGCACAAGCAAAGGATCACACAAAAATATTGTACAAAGAATACCAGCAAAGGGGCGGCACAACGGTCGACTGGTTAGCATGCCTGCCTCACAACGCGCAGGTGCAAAATTCAGACTCCGCCCTTCCTGTGTGAAGTCTCCCCGTGCCTGCGTGGGTTTTCTCCGGGTACTCCGGTTTCCTCCCACGTTCCAAAGACATGCGTGCTGGATTAATGGAACACTCGAAATTATTCCAAGGTATGATTGTGAAAGCGAGTGGTTGTTCTTCTGTATTTGCCCTGCGATTGGCCGGCAACCAGTTCAGGGTGTACCCCGCTTACCGCCCCAAGTCAGCTGGGATAGGCTCCAGCAGGCCCGTGACCTTCGTGAGGATAAACGGATCGGAAAATGGATGAATGGAAGAATACCACTAAAGTGGCAAATTCTTTGGTGCAGACCGAAACAGCGAGTGTTCATAGAGCCTTGATTCTCCAGCAGAGCCGCGTGGAGCTTAAGTCCCACACACATTTTCATCGGCGCCGACATTAAACTCTGAGATTTGATGCTGACGCAAAATTCTGAGTCATTACTTTCCGACGTCTGACGTCTTTAGTTTCAAACTGTGCGCGTTTTAGCAATTGCCTTTCTGGCCAATGGCTGGCACAATGGCCTTCCTCCGAGTTGTGTCGTGCGGCTGCATTTCCCGCAGGTTAGCACATTACAGGTTATAATGTGAATGGAAGAAACTCGACAAAATAGTTACAGCTTCA